TGCGCTTCTTGCATAATCTAGTATGAGCCCTAGAGAGTGTTAGATGATTCCATTTTCCAAAAGTAGATATGCTTCAAAACGTGCCTCATATAACCACACAGTTAACATTTCGGACATCAAAAAGATGCTGATACCAATTTCCGAAACTGAATAGAGTTGCATCCAACCAAAAAGTTATTTGCTTCACAAAACTGGTATCCTAAGCGCTCTTATCTTACCAAATTGAGCATATTGGCAGGTCAAGAAAAATCATTACAGAAATTTTGTTTTATGTTCGAGCACAGTTTTGTGTCTGCATGTTCCTGGATTCCAGAGACAAGTCTTTAAACATGCTAAAACTTTGTGGGAACGATCAAAGAAAAAAAGGGGAAAAGGAGAACTAAGGGAGCGTCCTTGTTGCAGAATCCGCTCACATTTCCTAAAAAGCTCATTTTGGCCTCGTAATGTTTGGTTTGTAAGATTTTATGTGATAACAACAGATGTTTTTCCAAAGTTTCCTGAAAAAGGTTAATCTAAACACTTAATTGGACAGAAGAGAAAGCGGAAACACATGGAAAGAGACTCACTTGGCATGGCTCTGGCAGACAAGTTCACAGACATGCTTACTATTTGCCCAACCAAAACTCTACTGTGACTGTAGTCTACTGTGGTTCTGGATCTCTCTCTTTTGCCCTATCTGAAGTGTGATGACTGTGAATGCTGATCGTTGTAGTCCCCAGTGGTACTATACCACTATATACGAATAAGTGTAACTGAGTGAAGTTGGACGCTGTTATAAGGGTGAGAGTGACTTCACTTGGGGGCACAAACAATGAAATTGAGGGAGGGTGATGATGCGATGACAAAAGTAGTGTCGATGTTTATGGGGTGGAGAGTGTGATGGATGACGAGGTCAGACAATCACAAGTGACAGACTAGAAGTGCTCATAGACTATGGTTGACATGGGAGAATATGCCAGCACTCTCATGCAGCAACAGCAACTTCAATGAAGACTCGGAGTTTCAATGGATATGGTGTCTTATCTATGGCACAGATTAGTGTCTGTTTTTCTGCTCCTCTTTCAGTGTGAAGATCTGGTGAGATTCTATAGCTGTATAAAGTATAGTCAATAAAAACACTTAAACGCGTATTAACACACAATAACAGCACATTTTACGCAGTAGTGGCTCAATAAAACAACCGGAACGAAGAGATGTTTTGGAATGAATGAATAAGAATGAAAAGGATGGCAGGAAGTGAGCAGAAAGAGTGGTAGTTTGGGACTATCTAACTTCCCTATCTCTCTCTATCTCTCTCTCTCTCTCTCTCTCTATCTCTCTTTCTGTTCACTAGCCAGAGTGTGTGTGTGTGGTAGTGGGGAATCCAGAATGCAATATAAGATGCAATATCATTTGGAGTGGGATGGCCGATCCACAAGAGGAGTGAAAGAGTCCCTCTCTCTACTCCAGATAGATCTTTTCACACAGTTTTATCCTCAAGTGCACTTGCTGTTGCTCTGTCTATATGCACAATAAGTCCCTCTAATACACCAGAATTGAAGTAGAAAGTGTTGTTTTATCCAGTCTGGCTATTTGTACTTTTTCCCTCTTTTCTCTCTCATCTCTCCTTCACTTTTGCACATCCTTTGTTGTTCCAGATGAAGAAGTCAGTGGTCATGATGATGTCCATTGTGCAATAACCTGAAGAGCATCAAAAGCAAACCCAAGACGCAAACTTGGTTACCATTGGAGACTAATTTTTGCTGAAAGTCTTGCTAATTTTTGCATTTTACATACAGGGGGGAGATGGGCAGGTGTGCACTGCCAATACACAGGATGCACTAGCTGTCACACTGCCACAGACAGAGAAGAGACTGTTTCCTGACTGACCGACTGACTGATGGGATATGTGGTAGACAGAGAGACAGACATATGGATGGATGGACTGTGAAGGATTGCAATGGGCAAACTCGAGTTTATTTTGTGCATATGAGCTGTCACCATGGAGGGGGGGGGGGGGGGGGGTGGGGGAGGGTTGCTGTGAATAATGTAGTTGAGTTTGTGGTGTGGAGGAAATGGGTGATCAATCTGGCAAGCCCACTTCTATCCAGCAGCAGTCCAAATCGCACGACAGCCATCACCATCATGATACTTTTTCATAAGCAAAACATCATACACACCCAAGCAACACCCCCAAACTCCCCACACACAGACAGGGGCGGATTCCATGCCGACCCAAAGAGTCAAAGAGTCCACCCTTTGTACTATTTTTAGATATAAAATTCTGACTGACTGAACCTGCGAAAAATAGGTTCTTTGTAGTGCTTTTGGAGAGCTCAGAAAATCAAGTTAGTCGACCTAAAAAAAAGTCAATAAAAAATTCGAAATTGCTTAGAAAATCAAAATCCGCCCCCCTCGTGAAAATCCTAGATCCGCCCCTGCACACATACATGCTCATTCTCATCACAAAAAGGAAATATTGGCTGTGCGGTGCTTTTTCATCTTCCACAACTTGAAGTATTTGCTTATAAACAGGGTTGACAAAAAATACTAGTCATACAATTTCCATACAGGTTCCCATACAGCTCATACGTTTAAAAAAGCGTATAAAAACTCTATCACTAGTTTTTTTTCCATACTATGGAACTGTAAGACTAGCATTTTCCCAGAATGAACCTGTATGGGCAAAAATGGGAACCCGGGTGTCGCTAAAAGCCAAAACGTTATAAGACTATTATATCTTATAAGATTAAATCTGAAATCTTACTAAACTCTTAAATCTTCTAAGAATCAATTCAATTTCTTATATGAATCTTTTAGGAAGCTTATAAATCTTTGAATTGCTGTTCCGAATTGCAACTCGTGGTAAAAGTTGCATAAAGAACGCAAATAGCTCAAAAATGGTCAAATCTGCTCTGGCACTGTAGAGCCTTATTGAACTACAATTTTAAACGTTACAATTACCTGGCTAGGTGGGGATAATTTAACCAAATCATAATCCGAATCAGGGGCGGATTTAGGGGGGCGGGGGTAGCGTACGCCCCCTCCCCCCTCAGGGATTCGACCCCCTGCCGACCCAAAGGGTCCCCCCTCCTTTGATACTTTTTCAGAAATCCATTTTTGGCCGACCGACCCTAAAGTTTTTCTAAAGGCGCCTTTGGCGCCAATATATACTAACTTTGAGGGGGAGCGCGCGCCAAAAAAACGCGATTTTTTTGTCAACATTTTTCAAAAAGTGCCCAAAAACGGTTTTTTTGACTGACTGTTTTTTCAGAAATTTGCCTGCGGCGCAGAAAAATTAGCCAAAATGGGGGCAAAACAGTGCTTTGGGAGAGCTTGAAAATGAAAAATCAATTTGGTCGACCTAAAAAAAAAGGTCGTCAAAATTTTCGAATTTTTTTTGAAAATCCGCAACCCTCCCCCCCCCCCTCGAGAAAATCCTAGATCCGCCCCTGATCAGAATCATAATAAGGATAGGAATATCTGATAATAAATACAAGCCGCGTCGATGTATCTTTGTCATCAACCAATTGTTATTAAAAAAAGGTCACTTGTTGCTCTGCGTTACATCTACGTTAAAGAGTACAATTACGTGCCAAATGGGGTTAGTTATGACCAAATGATAATAATAGTTTGTGTATCAAGCAGGGCTTGATACTCATTTTTGTCAGAAGTTAACCAACCAAAATCACTCAATTGAGCACCAAACGGCATTGGATAACCATTCACAGCTTCCAGTTCTAGAACACAAACCAATCAATTGATATAATTTGGACTTATCTCTATGGTTGCTTTTACTTTCGTGGGTTTATCAAAATTGACCATATCTTCAGTGCAATCAAAACACATATAATGAAATCGATGAGACATACACATGGGTGCTCTGAGTTTCGTCAATCATGACCTGCGATGAATGCGTTTGTCTTTTTTTTGAAACAATACAATTAATTGGCTAATGGAGGAAATAATGACCAAAAGGTAATATTAACCAATAGTAAAAAAAAACAGTATTAATATTGCACTTTCCTCTATTGATTGTACTAGAAAACGGCTCAGTTGAAGCTCTGAGTGTGGTTGCTACTCATACAAGTCTCCGAGGTCTAAAACAGTTGTATTTGGTTTCCATGATTTGATTTATCTCCATATCTGCTTTTTTTCAATGAAGGTGGTCCTGTCATCGGTGTAAACAACAACAATTGATTGGGTTGAGCCCTATCAAACCTGGGAGCTTGTTAGTTTTGAACCCAGCTAACAACATCTAAGAAAAGCTTGAACACTTTTTTATAACTTCAAATTTACGAGGCTAATGCGGGTAGTTATGACCAAATGATAACAAAGAGTAGTAAAGGAGTGAAAGGAGGTGGTGTGAAGGGGTTGGATGCAGACCCCTATGTATTAAGATAGGGAACAAAACATCCGGTCTTCAAGCTATGTAATAAGATAGGAAATATTTTACCTATGTACCAAGATTTTTATAGGTTTTGCTATGTTTTAATATACGCCGTTTGAGATGGCGAGGTGGTAAATTTCAAAAAAATTTTAGCGCCCGATTTTTCCATGTATTAAGGTAGTGTACAGATTTGTCTCGGTAATAGGATTAGTGAAAAAATAAGTAATAAAAACGGGAGCAGGCTTTCCAATGTATTACAAGGGGGAATCTGTTTCCCAATGTATTAAGATAAGTCATACCAAGTTTCAGATAGTAAGTTTCAGAAAGTTTTTGGGGACGGATTTTTCCAAGTATGAGGATAGTGTATAGATTTCCTTATGTATTGGTAAAAAAAATCAATTTAGTAAGAGCGGGAATATTTTGTCTGATGTAAAAAGACAGATTTAACGTTTTAGTTGTTAAGATAGACAGCTTCGAATGGTAATTTGAAAAAATTGCAAAACAATTTTTTGATTCCCGACTTTCCTGTGTATTAAGTTGGAACGTAGATTTATTAAAGTATTAGGATTGGAAATAACATTTCCACATATTAAGAGCTGGTACCAGTTTCTAACAGTTTGGAATTATAATGTTTTAGTATCATGGTAAAAAAAATGAGCGTTTTTGCAGAAATCTCAAAATATGGAAAAAAAAATTCAAAAGTATCAACTTTTTGGCAAATGTTTTGATTGTTTCTTTAATAATTGTGAAATAACTTTAATTGTTTTTATGAAAAAATAACAAACTTAGTTTTAAATTTTATCGTATCATGTAAAGATGATTACATTAAGTTTTCCAGAAAAAATGGATATTTCTCCATTTTTTCAACAAAACTTGGAAACACAATAAGATTTGGTCTAATTCGAGCTAGGCGAAGTGGTTTTTAGTGAATTGACTATGTGCATCTAGCTTAAACGTATCCGAAACCCACTTTTCTCAGAAGAATTGGGAACATAACCAAAGATTTTGAGGTTGAAAACTTTATTCATATAAGACTTGGCATCTGTACAAAAATCCCGGTTTTTGTACCTTTGATATGTATGTTTAATAGGTGTTTTTGTCCATTTGGATGTATATTTACTTAACAATAATATTCCAAATGAACAATATCAGCATTAATTATTGAAATTTGTTGAAAAACAAAAAAAATCATGATTCGAACTTTTCTCAATTTTTTGTCAATTATTAATATCACCACAAAGTCTGAGAAGTTCCAACATCCTTGCTGAAACATGCTTCTAATAATTCATTTTTCTATCACGTTTTTTATTCTGGTATTTAAAAGAGAGAAATTTTGAGGAAACTTCAGAAACAATTTTCAAAAACTGCACCAGTACTTGATTAAATGTATTCAATTTTGATGAAAGTACAAATTTTTCTCAAAATGCAAAGTTTTGCTGCTTGTTCATCTGCATTAGTACTGAGCTGATCTTGGTAAATTCTAAAAACGAACGTGGTTATATTTAAAATAAAATTTCTTCATAGCTGTTCATGAACATGATCTCTCTTTTGCTTCTGCAACCTTAATTATCAGGACTTTCCCCAGAATATTTAAGTTTCAGGTGATTTCCTGCTTTCTGTTTTGTATAACTTCTCGCTATTGAACTCAATTGCATGGAATTTTAGGCAGAACCGGGAAAATTAGGGGGAAATAGAATCAATTCAACAGTATTCTTTTGCCGGCAGAAATAAAATTAGAGGTAAACATCAAACGTCTGAATATTACTCTGTGATTTGTGCAATTTTGTTTTTTACTCTCTTTCTGAGGAAAATGGTCAGCAAAAATTTTTTTGCAACCAATAGCCATCAATTCTTTTGCAAAATTGTTCGTAAAGTCTCTTTTGAATTTTGTTTTTTAAACGAATTTCTCAAAACAGTTTAAATGAGAGCGAATTTGAGCCATTTGAAGCATTTGAAAAAGCACAAGTACAAGGAAGAAACAGAATTCTTAGCTACAAAACAAAAAGAAATACCCATGGAAACCTGTTTCTGACTTTTTGATTTTTCTTAAGTCTAACACAAGAATGTTGTTTGAATTTTAACTCAGAAATAAAAATTGTGCCCAAAACTGCAATTTTAAGTAAGATTGATTGAAAAACTAATATAATTCCTCTTATATTTTCTAAATGAGATAAAAAATGAGGCAACCAGAGGACAAATAGGAAGTTTTCCCGGTTTGTCCTTGAAATCGGTCATCAAATATTACATCAATTTACAGTTTATTTTTCTTTTTTCTTTCAAAAAAATCAGTTTTATAAAAACTCCAGGAAAAAGTCTATCTTTATTTTCTCTAAAAACTTTTTCTTTAAAAAACTTTCTGCAGATTGTTTTTTATGGTGTTTTTTTCTAAACA